TTCCCGTCAACTCTCCCTTTAACCCCCTGAAGATTCACAAACACACCGAAATCTTTAATTCCGGTTACTCGCCCTTCATATATTTTAAAGAGAATAGGTCGGTCGTCAAGTTCTGGGACAGGAGCTCTTCTGAAGTCATCATCATCATCATTATAAGTGCGCCCAGATCGTCCTCTCTCCCTATATTCATCCATGTGTCTGCGGCTCCTGTGGGAATATTTACCACCATACCTGTCCTTGCTGAGTGATCGTGACCTCGACCTAGATATGGACCTGTAATTCCCACGTTGAGAGCGGCCTCTATCGTAATCATCGGTCTCAGGGCTCCTGTTCCGTTTCCTGCTACCTAAATATCCGTTTTTCTCTGCCTTTGCCTTTCCAGCTAACCCTTCAAGCATCGCAAAGGTGTCATCCATAGCCCCTGCATTTGTGCTATCTTCCGGCCCGGTATTGGGTTCCTCCCCGGCCCAATTGGGAACTTTATCATCAGGGACTGCAAGCCCTTTGAACACTCTCGCTTTCCTCTCGATGTCGTCAAGCCCTTCATCACGTCCGTTCTGCTGCTTTTCTGGTTCGTCCGGTTTGGCTCGCTTAGACTTGTATTTAGGATGCATTGTTAACACCAGGCGATCCACACTTTCCACCAGACTTTGCGGAAATTCTGCTCCAACAGCCTTCAGAGAGCTCTTGAACTCGTCGAGGGATTTGCATTGTAAATGCTGATCAATCACGAACTCCGCCAGAGTCTTTTCGTTGACCCCCAAGTGATTTTGGAGCTCGGTTGTTACTCTCGAAACGAGAGATAAGAGTTCGAGGGACTCAAGGTCATCCATGACGGCGACGCTGGTGACAAGCTGCTGGTTCTCATTCTCTTCTGGCTATCAAATCTTCAAATTATGTTTCTTTGCGATAAAAAAAACCCCGGAAGGTTGAAGCTATCCGGAAAATAAATATTCCAGCCCCGAGATTCTCAGCCGCCAAACGGACCTCGGAAGGTTTTTCCAGCTATAGATTTATAATAAGCGACTTGCGTTGAAATGGTAATCGTATTCTAACTGAACTATGATACATTTGTGAGTAAGAGAAAACTTATTATATAAATGCAAGTCTATATGGGGTTTTCTCATGGCAAGAGACTCAACTAGGAGTGGAAGGTTTAACGTGAAGAATTGTTGCAAATAAATATGGGTATCAGAATGCAAATTCAGAGTACTGCAGGGCCATTCAAGCTACCAGAGCATGTTCATAGAATGCTACACATTAAAGGAGGGGAGAAGGTAGATCCGGATATGCGGTGTTCGAAAGGGAGATAGTGGTTTTTGGGAGTAGATAATCCTATCACTTGAGTATAGAAAAGACAATATTAGGACACACTAGTGGCCGTTTGCTCGCCCAAATGTACAGGTGAACTCAAGCCAATCCCTCTTGAAGCAGGACCAGATTGTTCAGCCCCTAGCTCACTTCCAGGGTCTTCTAGTTCCGGGGTATCTGAAATTGTGTCCGTGACGCCTGTCGGTTCTGCGCCATAGCTAGCCAGGAACTTATCCTTTGCTCCCTTGAGTCGTTTTTTCCTAAGAGCTTGTTTCCGGAGTTTCGAATTTGCCGAGAATTCTGTCAGGGTGCGATCCATTTTCACCTCCGCCATTTCCTTAGCATGTGTAGCCAATGTTCTGTCTGTGAATACGCCTCCAAATCTGTATCCAAGCCAGAGATAGAGAATAAGAGACCGATGGAGGGCTTCTAAGGATCGCAGGTATTCCTTATCATCTCCCGAGACTGGTTTATCCAAAATCTCGAGATCCAACTCTGGTATATCGAGAAGGCCCCCACTCTTTTGTTGACCAACGCACTCCGCAAATGCTCTGATAACTCGTGCCATGACAGGATCAGTAGCGCGTAGAGGGGCGCTCATAAATACCATTTTATCTATTGCGTTAAGCCCCTGTATGTTATCAAGGAGACCGAAGGTCGCCTCTGTGTCTTGGATTTTACACATAAAGAAAGGTGAATCAGTGCGAGCAACACGCTCAAGGCGCTGGTAAACATAACCAAACGGGGTATCGGGAGGGAACATGTTGGAATAGTTGTCGATTGCAGAATCTAAAGGAAGGATCCCTGCGGCATCTAGAGGTTGAGGCTCAGCCATCATAGCAGCTCGGATATAAGGAAGGTCGGCCTCGTCAAGGCACGTTACAAGGCCAACATTTTCTTTATCGTCATTCTTGGAGGAGTTGGATGGTTGAGCTGCACTGCGATATCTTCCCGCTCGCCCACCTATTTGTTTGACTTCAGATATTGAAAGTCGTTGGATGCCTGTGGGCAGTCGTTTCATCACTGATTCAAAGATAATTCGCTTGCAGCTCCTAAAATAGTGATAAGTATTTCATGATCGTCATGTAGATATGACCATTACTTACAAGTTCAACCCCATACCAATAGCGTCGCTCGCAACAAGGAAGTCGTAGTCGTTGTTGGGATCATTGAACAAATCGGCCTGTTGAGCACGAATCTCTGCTGGTAAGCTTCCATAAACGATTGCGGCTCTCCGGCCAGTAGTTTTTTCAATCTCCTGTTTAAGGGAATGTATCCCAACACGAGAAAATGCTACAACGCAATCCCCCTTCTCAAGACGTTTAATGTCACCTTTTAAGCTTGAAGCCATTGTCTTCAGGGGATTCAGTCGCTTATAATTATGGATCTCAAGGGTATCGCCCATCAGGGACACGAGACGTCGAATAAGCGGAACAGCCCTTTCTTCGCCACAAAGATGTAGCTCTTGAGCCTGGCAGCCTAAAACAGCTCTTGTCCAGGCCCATCCTCGATGTGGATCTGCAATCATTTGAATTTCATCGATCACTCCGACTTCAACCTCTTGGCCAATAGGAACCATCTCGACGGTGTTGCTGAAAATCTTTACTGGGTCACCTTCCGGCACTCTAACTTCATCACCGGTGATTAGAGCGCACGATATGCCCTTCTTGTTAAGCCGACTGTAAATCTCATGTGCGAGAAGACGTAGTGGGCCGCCATAGAAGCCACTCTTTGCCTTCTCCAACCTTTGCAGAGCATGGTAAGTTTTCCCCGAATTTGTAGGCCCAACGTGCAAATGGATCTTCCTCTGCATGCTTCGGGCAACAGGGTACCATTCAGCAGGAAACCTAAAGTCCGCTAATGAGTCCCGTTCAGCGGCCGTTGATGAGAATGTGCTGTCAAGCTTGTAGTTCCGGTACTGTCTCTGTAAATGTTCCACAATTCCGTCACGCCCCAGCTTCCCGAATGTTCGTCGTAAAATGAACCTATGTCCAAAATGCGCCTCATCATCATTATCAAAAATAGAACTTTCGCAAGAGTGGGCAATGGAGGTAAAAAATTTATTCCAGCAGGCGAGCTCTGTTTTTGTCTGTTCGAGTCCTTTTCGGACGATATCTGAGGCCTCCCTTAATGCTGACTGGAAACGGTCGTCGAAGGTAATACGACCGACTTTCCTTATATTACTGCTCGAACCTTTACCCTTCCAAGGCTATCACACAGAGTGTATAATAGTTAGTCTATGATATATATCGAGAGAGATGCGCAGAAAACCCTCACCTTTAGATCATTACCTCTGTGCCGATCATTCTTACTCTTCCTACTGCTTGCCCAGTCAAGCTCATGCTGTTCGAATGGTCTGTTCAAAGCCGTGATTCTAGCTTTGTTCTGCTGTACGGATCCGCTGAAGCTCCGGCTGGAGAAAGATGTTGGCGCGCGCAGAGCGCAACGAAGGCATAGACCTTGAACCGGCCGCTGCCATGGTTGCATCCCCGCAATGGTTCTGTAGGGCAACCCTCAAACAAAAATTGGGACTTGGCAAAAAGAAAGCCAGCATCGATTGCAAGATCCAGCATCATCCAGGAGATCTTAAAAAGCTCCAATGTTATATCCAAAAAAAAGCTTCAAAGTTATATTTAAGGTTAAATGCTCCTATGTTATGACTAAGCAAGTGGACCCATGAAACGCGCTTAATCCAAAAAGCGAGCAAGATCGGCAAAAAGAGTGGGATATTAGAAGTTGAGGAGCGAGTTTGGATGTCTCAAGGGATAATAATACAAATACAAACAGAACAAGGCAGTTGACACATTTGGAGCGAGGACCGCAGTGAAATATAATCAGGGCCTGGTTATCCTTTTTATCGAAGAGGGTGCTGCCTGATTGCACGTTTTGATCTAGGTGGTTTACTTGGTCTCATGGTCTCTTCTTATCTGCCAATATGGACGCCTCGTTGATCGAGGTTCAGCGCCAGGGTGAGTATTTGTGGCTACCATTCTCCTTTATTTGAGTGTTTACTTCGTGGACTGGAATAATAACTCTTTTAGCTATCCTGGAAACAGTTCGACATTCGGGGGGCAAAGAGGTGAGCACTCGTCGAGATCCATTCACGAAGAATGACGTGGGGCTAAGATAACGAACGCTGTCAAGTGGAAAGTGCTTGTGGTGGACGAGGGAAGCAGAAGATTGATTGATAATGCCGTCAAGGAAGATGACATCCTAAATGAAAATGTGACCAGTATGCGCATTGCCCGGCCCTGATACCTACCCACATCGGCTCACCATTTGGAAGATATCGAACAGATCGAACATCGAAGGCCGTTGAACAAGGAGACAGATGCCCTGTATATCCTGTCCGCACTTCCTCATATCATTGATTGTGTTATGGCAGACCTCGAAAGACGCCGTTATAGGAGGTACTTCTTGGTTTGGACTTCAAGTATGTTGATAGTATACCTCCCCTAGTTCTTCGATCACCCGCTCATATATTCTTTGCTTTTTTCTTTTAGATCTCGACCCTCTAATGAGGAATAGAATCAACGGCTTCAGCGCTGCAAGAGAGCTAATCGCCAACATGCAAGTGATGAATATCAATTTCTTCCCTCGGGAATCCCGTCTGGCTATCTTTCGCGACCCCTGGAGCTTTCCTACGCTCTTTCACCCTGCATGCAACAACCTTGTGAGGGAACACTTGACGGAACTAGCACAAAGGGTATGCTAGAATAATATCCACTTTTGACATACGCTTAGTCCGTGAAGCTGACGCTCATTAGATCGTCTCCGTTTGCGTGTCATTGAACGAGTATCCTCTTATCAGGTACTTTCGCCCCAAGGATGCGTCTCATGAAGCAAGTGTTTTGTGCTCTCATCTAGCTCGGTTTGTACAAGATGAATTAGACGAGTACGCAAAGCATCGAAGAGATTACCCAGCGCCGTCTTCTAGGCCCAGGGGTGTGCTATTTATTACTGATCGATCTATGGATCTTGCTGCTCCATTGGTCCATGAGTTTACATATCAAGCCATGGCTCATGACCTTCTCCCAATAAAAGAAGGCGATAAGTTGACCTATCGGACCGTTCTAAACCAAGGCCAAGACACCGAAGAGACAAGAGATATGGAAATCACTGAGGGCGATAAGATTTGGGTGGATAGTCGGCATCTACATATGAAAGACCTCCTTGGAAAGCTTGCAGAAGATTTCAAAAAATTTAGAGCCCAGAATCCTCAGTTTGCTGACAGGTGAGTGATAACTTTCTCGCATGTCTTTCAATCTTCTGCTTCGGCCTAACATATTGCTTTCCAATAAGCGACCTTCCTGCGTCAGTCAATACAGTTAAGGATATGCTTGCCGGTTTGTCAGATTTCCAAGAAGGCAAAAATGCCTACACGCTTCACCTCAACATGGCCCAAGAAACAATGAGATTATTCCAGGAACACAATCTTGCAGATATTGCAGCAGTCGAACAATCACTCGCGACCGGGGTTGACGAAGACTTTCGGAAACCGAAGAACATTGCAGAGCAATTAGTTCGCCTTCTTGATGACGAATCCGTAGGGCCATCGGAGCGACTCAGGTTGATCTTACTATATCTCTGCTACCGTGGCGGGCTCCTCGCTGGAGATATCAAGAAACTTCTCGCGCATTCACAGCTTCCTCCCCAGGATGGTGAAGCCATCTATAATCTTGCGCTCCTGGGTGCAAGAGTAGAGAAACCCCTCAAGGATCCAAAACCACCACCCCAGTCTTTATTTGCCCAGAAATTACCACAGCAGCCTCAGGAGGATGATGTTAGCATATCACGATTTGAAACAAATTTGAAATTAATGCTTCAAGAGCAAATTCGGGGCACACTAGATAATACCGTGTTTCCATACACGCGGCCTTATCTAGAAGATGAGAGCTCACCCCATGACCAGGTGGCTCAGTCTTCTCTGAGAAGTGCAAAACCAACATGGGCTCGCACTCGGCCAGTCGCTGGTGAACCTCGTCAACGAATTATAGTATTTATGGCTGGAGGTGCAACATATTCTGAAGCCAGAAGTTGCTATGAAATATCACAACAGACCAATAAGGACGTTTATCTCGCAAGCTCACATATGCTCACACCGGGTTTATTTTTACGACAAGTAAGAGATCTAAGCGTTGACAAGAGACGACTAGATCTTCCGAGTGACCGCCCGAGACCACAGGCTCCAGCCCACTTATTCGAGAGAGAGCCTACTCCTAAACCCAAACCACCCGCCCCTCCAGTTGGTGGGATGGCGCCGATGAACCACAACAACGGCCCTGAGGCGATCAAAAGGAAGCCGGCAAACGGAACCCCAAGCTCCACTCAACCACAACCTCCTGCTGTCGCTCCCCCTTCTTCAAGCGGAAAGATTGGCAAAAAGGAGAAGGATAAGGAAAAGAAGAAGCGTGGTTTCTTTAAATAATGCTGGAGACTATCGTCAGTGCCTTCGTGCCCCGAGTTTTTTTGACTATTTCTCATTTAATTTCCCTCAGCATGGCATTTTCTCCTTTTGATACCATATATTCACAACCTGCAGGAATTTTACTCTTTTACTCTTTTGGCATGGCGTAACTGGTTGCCTAGCATATATGTGTTAGAGTATAGTAATAATAGTTACAGTAATTAATCAACCCCAGATTATCAAAATCTTGTATGGGCTCAATATTCTCTCCTAAGAAATTGCTAGATATCAACACGTTGATGTTAATGTAATGTGTATTATTGCCTCCTTGTTGAAACGGGCTGTACGTTAGGAAAACGCCATACAAATACTCAAATTGGGAATTGCAAGATACACGAAATGCATATGGTCAGTTCCCTAAATATTTCTCCATATCCTCAGTCCGATAGAATACATCTCGTAACTTCTCCCCGTGTCTTTTCTTTTCCTCCTCCTGTAGCCTAACCTGCTTCGCATTTAGCTTTCGTGCATTCTTTGCCTTGTCAGCTTCTTCCTTTTCCCGTAACTGTTTAAGCTTCCGTTTCTGTCGCTTCCCTCCATGGTCCTCTGCTTCGTCTCTCCATGAACCCACCCCCAATCCAACCGTATCGTTTTTCATTTTGGGTTTCAGTGGAATTTGTATACCTGATCCGGTCGGCCCCAAGCCGGAGCGAGCATCAGGGTCCCAGCCATATGAGGAGAGATACTTATAACCTGCCCTGGTCCTATCAACGGCGGATGGCGGATGGGAGTGTGGGAGGCACACTTGGTGCGCCAGAGAAGCTTCGTGTGGTATAGTATCGGGCGGTTCACTGGCGGAAGCTTTGGGCTCCCTTTCGTCCCCTTGATTCAGCTGCTTGGGGATAGCTTTTAAAGGAAGGCGACAGACCTCACATAGCTCCGTATCCGAAGAAGTATTTCCAGGAGAGCCAGTATCGGACTGACTACTTGATGGGAGTACAATAGATAGGTACTTGGCTGCTATAGAAGAACCACCTGGTGTGGGAGATGAAGATACCGTGGCGGGAGCAGATGTAGTAGTGGAGAGAGTGGCCGTGTCTCTAGACGGAACAAATGGGACGCGCTTCCTTTTTATACCAGCACCAAAGCCCTGTGGTATCGAGTATTCATCGTCGTTGGAGGCCATTATCTTATTATATCTCCATGCCCTGATGAATGATGGTTCATCTTCAAATAAGGAATCTTAGTTTAACTGCTGAGGCTCAAAAAGAGCACAGATGTATTAGTTACGTAATAACCTTAATGTAGGGGTCGATCTGGTTGTCATTATTTAATTAACCAGCTCATTTACTGCATCCATTAACGTTATATGGCTCATATTTAATTTAGATTGTACCTATCTCGACCCGACAAATTCAAGTCTCCTGAAGAACTACATATCGCATATCCACCCCCAATTACTTTCACATTGCCGTTTCGACTCGCCATAGAATGCGCATTGCAGCATCAATATAGATTCTTTATTGCTATCTAGACCGCCGTCATGCCATTGCCTATCCTCGCTGAGGGCGCCACTCGAGGGCTCTCAGCTATCCCATATGGGTATACTGTCTTAAAAATAGCGGCGGGTCTTGCCGTGATAACGGCTTTAAAACGATATTTTGGAGGAGCCACAAACAGGTCGGACCGAGTAATGCACTCTAAAGTGGTGATGGTTACGGTACAAACACACCTACAGCCTCAATTGCCTACATTTTACTCAGCTAATTCTTTTATCCCTGGGAAAGGGCGGAACTTCAGGAATTGGTGCAGCGGTCGTACGAGCTCTTGCAAGCCGGGGGGCTCAAGTGATAATACTTTCCCAACACTCGCCTTCCGACCCATTCATCGTCGATTACATCGAAGATCTCCGTGCTTCGACTGGCAACGAACTCATATACGCTGAACAGGTCGACCTTTCGTCATTATACTCCATTCGGCTGTTCGCAACAAAGTGGATTGATAACAGCCCTGTACGGCGACTTGATATGGTTGTACTTTGCGCGAATACTCAAAAACCACCGTCTTCTCGAGCATCCCATGGAACAAGTGAGGGACTGCAGGAAGAATGGCAAGTAAACTATCTTGCAAACTACCATTTATTGAGCATTCTGAGCCCTGCTCTACGAGCACAGCCTCCAGACCGAGATGTACGAGTCATATTCACTACCTGCTCAAGTTATATTGGGGCCAATAAACTAGACTTGAAAGTATTGGAAAAGGCAACAGTCGTCCAAAGTCCCGCTAAGCCACCGACAAATAACCGGACGAAAACGGGGCCCCAGTCACTTGTATCGAGTAGTGGTATGTACGCGACGTCTAAGCTCGCACTGATGATATTTGCACGTTCATTTCAGCAACACTTAACTTATACCCCCCGAACCGACAAACAAAACAACCCTCTTCCACCACCGCCAGCTCGTGTCTTAGTTGTGGATCCGGGTTTTTGCAGGACACCGGGAACCCGTCGATGGCTAACCGGAGGCTCATTATGGGGCTTATTGATTTATCTTATAACTTGGCCAATATGGTGGCTTGTGCTCAAATCACCTGAACAAGGTGCCCAGAGCATTCTTATGGCTGCAATGGAGGCTAATTTTAGCGGTGTGGGAAACACAGTTGCCGTTAGCCTTGATGATATACAGAAGATGGCAGGTGAAAATAGTGATATGACGGGCCGTAAGAAAGTAGGAATCGAGGGCGGAACCCTGTTAAAAGAATGCAAGGAACGCCATGTTCTCCGGAGTGAGATCATGGATGAGAAAGCAGGCAAAGAACTATGGGAGTTCAGCCAGCGACAGATTGAGCACAAGGAGAAAGAATCTGCTCTACTTAGGGCAATGGAAAAGAAAGCGAAAGAGGAGGAAGAAAAGGAAAAGAGCAAACAGCGATCATCTTCGAAAAAGTCTGAGAATTCAGCTGAAGCAAAGAAGAAGAAATGAACCTATTGAAACTCAAATATGATTCTACAGCTAATTTAGGTAGAATGAGAAGTGTTTACAAACACAAAAGATAGAGTCCGTAGATTTATACTGACTACTGTACTATCCCTCTGCGTCTTTCCTGTCCATTCCCTAACCATCCCATAACCGTTGGTATGTACACCGATAGCCATAACTTCACAGTCTCCATTGTACTCTGAGTAGGCAAATCGAAATCTAATTATAAACTAACTAGTGTATCAAACCTTTTTTTTCCCCCTTAAGCTGCATACCATCTATTGTGTAAATGTCTCCGTTTTTAGTATACCTGCGTCTATTTTGCTTTCAATTTCTCAAGCAACTCTGCAGGAGGGTTCTGTCGGTACCCCTGGGGATTATTGTCAGTCCATCGCCATAAGTCCTCGCAGGCTTGGTGAAGGTCCCGTTTAGCCTTCCACCCAAGCTCCTTATTAGCTCTTGATGGGTTGCTGGTAAGGTCAAGAACATCTCCATCACGGCGAGGAGCAATCTCATAGGGAAGTTCTCGTCCAACTGCATCACTGAAGGCTTTGACCATCTCCAGAACGGTGCTTCCTTTGCCAGTACCGAGATTCCAGGCACGGACACCAGGATGGTTCGCACGTAGGTAGTTGAGAGCTTCAAGATGACCATCTGCAAGATCCAGAATATGGATATAGTCACGGATAGCTGTACCATCGTGAGAAGCATAGTCTAAACCCATTGATTAGCACAGTACAAGACAGAGCTTTTTAAAGGGTACTCTATACCATTTCCGAACACTGAGAGCTTCTCTCTCTTTCCATTTGCCACTTGTGCTAATAGAGGAAGCAGGTTATATGGAACGCCTTGGGGATCTTCGCCCATGATTCCGCTGGGGTGAGCGCCAGCTGGATTGAAATATCGCAATAAGGCAGCATTCCACTTCTCAGCTTCTTCTGGCTTTCCAGCCCTTTTTGCCCTTGCTCTCTCCGAATTGATCATATCGGTGATTGCAGATTCGATCGCAACTTTTGTGTTGCCGTATGGGTTTGTTGGACCCAAGGGACATTCCTCTGGAATTGGAATCATATTTGGGAAGCGTGTAGCGTCACCATACACTGTTGCCGAGCTTGAGAAGACGATGTTATATACATTGTGGCGCACCATCGACCGCAAGAGGCAGATCGAGCCATGTACGTTTACATCGTAGTAGTCTAACGGACGCTCAGTGGACTCCCCAACCGCCTATAATATATATATATATATCAGCAAACATTACAGAACAAAATAATTACTATTTCCTTCCTTTTCAGTCAGACAACTTACCTTCAAGGCTGCAAAGTGAATCACGCTGTCGATATCTGGGTGCGCGTCAAAGACCTTATCGAACGCAGCCTCGTCCCTGACATCGAGATTAACGAACTCCGGACGCTTTCCGCAGATCAATTCGATGCGGTTGAGGGCTTCCTCTGAGGAATTGTACAGATTATCGACAACCACGACTTTGTATCCGGCTTCGAGAAGGGCGAGGGCCGTGAAGGACCCAATGTAGCCCGTCCCACTTTTGAGCGGCGCCAACAGCAAGTCAGTCTATGGCAGCAATGCGCGCGCATGAACGCTATAACTATGCTTACCCTGTAACAAGAACAGATCCACTAGCCATAGTAGAGAGCGTGGGAATATATGTCTTAGCGAAGATGCAAAGATGGTGAACTTGCTTTGATACCGGCGTAGGTGGCGGGGTATTTGGAAATATTTGGCGGGCGTTTCGTCGTTGTCGTAAGAAGCCCAAACGGGTTAATTTCCGAGCCGCATGTACATGACTATGACGACACCAGGGGGGTTTCAGGCTTTTATACAAGATGGGAGCGACGATGGAACCTTTGACCCGGGTCTGTATGATGTACTATATGGTCAGGTCGACTACGGCGATGGTAACTCCTTGAACCGGGCTGGAAAAGAAGCAGCAGCAGGTAACTAACTAAACCATCAGAGCGGCTTAAATATACTCGCAACTAGCGGCGCCAGAAGAACCACAGCTCGAACGCTACAGACGCAGTGCAACAGCCTGCCATAGGAGTGAAATCTCAGAGGCGAGCTAGAGAGTGCAAGAAGAGCTCGAGGTGGAACAAGAGCTGCCTGTATAGCTTATATACCCTATCGAATCGGACCATGAAGCTGCTCATATTCGGAGCTACAGGCGCTGCTGGAGGGTTAACGGTTCGCAAGGCGATTGAGCATGGTCATGAAATAACGCTTCACGTCCGGGACAGAGGCAGAGTGCCAGAGGACATTTCTACCTCTGATAAAGTAAAGGTACAGTTCCCCAGGAGCCACGATTGGCTGGTCTACTGATACAAGGTAGGCAATATTTGAGGGCTCTCTATCCGATGAACCCTCGCTGTCCGCGGCAATCAAAGGACAAGATGCCATCCTGTCATGCATCGGTCCCAAGAGCATCTTTGGCGATTACGGCAGCCAGTTTACCGACGGATACCGTCTGATCATCAAACTGATGTATGAACATGGTGTTAGACGCATTCTGGCCATGTCGACGGTAAGCGCCTATGATGATCGTGACAAGTTTGCATTTATGAGGTCTGCTGCATACTGGACGGTGCATCTGCTTGGTCGCCAATCGCAGGGGGAAATCTTGGGGATTGGGGAGGTGTTCAAGAAGGATGGAAAGGGGTTAGATTGGACGCTGTATAGGGTAGGTGTGCTGGGAAATTCAAAGGAGGACAATCGTGTGGCGCAAGCAGGTTGGATTGGGAACGGGAAAGCGACTATATACCTCGAACGGAGAGATTGGGCAAACTGGATGATCCAAGAGGTCGAGAGGGGGGAACCAAAGTGGGTGCGCGAGATGCCAGTTATTTACTCTCCTTGTCCAGGAGGATCATGGTAAAATGTTAAAAGGCTTGAAGTCGCGATATGTGGTTGAGGTAAGATGTCCATATGTTCATTAGCCATTTTATGTTTTTCTTGTTATATCTGCCAAATACCAACAGTGCTATGTGATAACAACCCCCGCCACCATACCTATACCACAAAAGCCTCACAAATGAAATATCGTATGCTCCCTTCACTAAGAAAAGGAAAAATAACCGATGGAGAAAAGACAGGGGGTATAATGCCCAAGTTAATATCAGTATAAAATAAAAGCAATATAAGAGTGTCAAGGCACGACGGTTACAGGAGGAGAGAGGGAGAATCAACAGTAGACGAAGGGGATGAAAACATCAGCTTGGATGCTAGATATAGGATAAATCATCCTAGGAGTTCAACGTCAAGTCCGATAGCACGCATGAACAGGTTGACGTTACCCAGACGCTGGCTTGCCATGTCTGCGGGTAGTGTTTTGCTTTGAGCAACGGTTTCCATAACTCGATCCCTATGGTAGATCTGCGTTAGCATACTTATTTATTCCCGGCACTGGGTAATGGTACTCACTTTACAGCAATGACCAAGCGCTGCTGCTGTTCTGGGCTTGCACCAATACCCATAGCAGCAAGAAATTGCCAAACGTACATGTCATCACCGCTGTTGATTGTGCCAGGGAAAATATAGGCAAGAGTTGGTTCCATGCTGTCAAACAGCCGATTATAGACCTTAGTCCACTGTAGCAGTTCCTGCTCTGGGACACCGCCAGCTTCCTTGACCAGTTCAGCACGACTAAGCAGCATAGTTAGAATTCCAAGTCCGATCTTCGTTCTTGAGACAGCGTGGATATGGGTCTTATCAATTACTAAGCCGAGAAGGCCAATAACGATGTGGATCGGAGCATCATTGACGTATCCTAGTAAGCTAGGCATTACGGCCTGGTTGAATAGTTCAATTTCTTCGCGAACGGGGCCCGGTGGTTGAGTTTCACCTGGTTGGAGTTGGGCTCTCGATACGACATCCAAGGTATCCAGATGGTAAATAATCAGAGTCAGCATCGTAATGCGTTGTTCCTGGTCGATTTGGTGGAAAATCCGGGGAATGGCCTTTTTGCCCTTTGGATATGATAAGAACGCGATGAAAGGGTGGATGGTAGCTGCTACCGAATCTATTGGCTCCAAAACTTTAGTACTCTCCCACAGTATATCCTTGAGTGACTGCATTTTCCGTTGCCATTCCGTGTATAGTTCTACCGCCTCTTCATCTCCTCCTGGGTTTGGTATTGGCGGCATCAGGCGCACAAGGTTCTCCATGTTCATCAAGGTGATGTAAACACTTTCGATGTTCTGTAGAATTGACTTGCGGTCACTAGGACTGAGTTGTGTTTTCTTTGCGCTAGAGGGCCTCTGCCCGTCGGAACTCTCGGGACGTTTGATATTGAGTAGGGGTTTGGGTGTTTTGGCATTGCTAAAAGATATCTTCCCCAGACTCCCTTCAATTTATGAGTTGCTTGTTTTTGGGCTTTAGTTTGGCAGCTTCCACAGCTCTCTGTACTTGTTGCTGCATGCGCTGCATATGGTTGTCACCGCTGAAATGGGATTTCCGGTTCATATTACCACCGGAACGTCCTCCAGTTTGAGATAGATATGTTTGCGCAAAATGACCAAGGGGCTGGCGAGGATGTTGGCGAGGAGCACCGCGGATTTGGCTATAGACTTGGTAGTAGAAGTCTTCTGTGAGGAGAGATTCTGGGTTGGCATCACCGGTATTACCAGTCGCGGTTACCAGTTGCTGTAGCTGTATTCGGGTGATAAAATTTTTATCTTGAGGAGTCATCAAACCGTTTCCCTTGGAAAGGAGGAAAATCTTATGATTCCTCTTTGCACGCTTTGCATCCTCTAACAAGAGTGCATTCCTTTGTTCCTCGGGTAGTTCCATTATCTTTGGGTTCATAGCTGCAGGAATACCGCCTTGCCCCATTAATGGATGATCCAAGGCGTATGGCCCTTGAGGTTTTCCCTGTTGGCGAGGAGCTCCGGCCGAATGCCGCTGGGGTTGGTGAGGTTGCCGGTGTTGCTGCTGCTGCTGCTGCTGTTGTTGCAGAAGATGCAGAGGTAAGTTGGTGCCTGGCATTGCGTGTTCAGGGTGCTGTTGCTGCAGATGTGGCTGTTGTTGGAATCCAAGCGGTGGGGCCATGCTACTTGGGTGATACTGCTGGGAAGGGAATTCTTCAGCAGGGAGGTGGCCATGCGCCTCGGGGTGGTGAGGGAGCGGTTGGTTTGGGAATTGCATTGGAGGCATGCCTTGAGGCATAGGGCTCGTATACTGTTGTTGCGGCATGGGTTGACTTTGAGGTGGCTGTGATGGATTCATGGCCTGCACCCGCATCTGAGCTTCCACCTCTTCCAAGCTGAGCATCTTCTTCGGAGGTTCAGACGCTGGTTGCTCCTTCTGGGTTGTCTCAGGTGCTGTTGTCTTTGGTTTCTGAGTAGCGGTGGTCCCCCAGACACTAGACTTTGCTTGAATTTCAGGAATATAGCCAGGGTCCTGGTATTTTTCATATCCGGTTCGTTTGGGTAGTGTAGGAAGGGCGGGCTGGGCAGCAGCCTTAGAAGAGCCATGTTGCAAGTTATACAGCACTTGTTCCTCCCCCAAGACGTTTGTCATCTGAGCAGTGTTTCCGAAGAAATCAAAGTCCTTGCCCACAGGCTTATTCTGCTCTCCGGCAGCATCTCCAAAGGTGTCATCGTTGAAATCGTCATTTGCCTCTTCGAGCTGGTCTCCAAGCCCATCGTAGGTATCTTCGAAGTCAATTCTGCACATTTCCCCCAAGTAGGAGACCCGGTCAGCGTAATGTCAAATAACGCACTCTGCTAAGGGGGATTACGGATGTAGAACGCACGCATCATCGTCGTTGTAACCTGATCTGTCTGCTGTAGCGCGAGCAACCTCCGCAAACGGATCCAAAGTGTCGAAGATGCCCCTCTGAGCAGACGCCGCCGGACGGTCCTCCGGAAGCTTGGTGTCAAACCCAAAAAAGGACATCCTGTCTTGACTGCCGGCTAACCGGCTGGCGAGATTGATAGAGATGCTCCAGGTGGTTGTTGGATGTTGAGTTGTGTGTGTTTTTGGTCTTCGTTTCTTTTTGATACTCTTTTTCGCCCACGAAGTAGCATGATTAGTCATCGACTTAGTCATGACCTGCGATGACACTTCACTATTAATTTTTACTATCATTACATTATTCACTAAGGATATTTATAGAGTGAAGATGTGAGATGTGAAACATGATATGTATATACGGAAATCGGGGTGTCACCAAATGTGCTGACACAGGTGGTGGCCTTTGCAATTTATGTGGCCTTCTTGGTGATGTTTTGGGCGAGTGGTCGTTTTATCGCCGCTTGAGAATGAGGCCTTTTTTTTTAGAAACTACCTCCAAGAGGTGCTTATAGGGGCATCCGCACGTAACAGAAGTATGAGAAGGAGATCTAGGAGATCTAGAGAGCTTGAAAGGCCGTTAGATACGTTTACTTATATTAATTTACCACAACCATCTGCCTACTGCCGGCGTAGATCCCTCCGCCCTGAAAACCAGAAAGAAAATATTATAATATAGGCTTGGTAATTTAATTCTTGCAACCGTGTTGGCGCATTCTTGGGAAATGCAAAGAAAGTACAGAAATTCAACTTCCATCTTCGTATCTTTTCGTAAAGCTGGGCTTGCTGGTAATTGACCCTTGAATTGGGCCCACTTCTCCCTTTTTTTTCTCGCCTCTTCGTCTCTCTTCATCACCTTTGCGGCTTATACGGTGGTTAACTGTCCGAGCCTTACCGACTCCCGAAGAAGGGAAGAGAGTATTACAGGTATTTCACAAAGTCTTTTACTGGATAGAAAAAAGGGCAAGTAAGAACAAGGAAGGAAGGAAGGGATAAGTAGGAGGAAGAGGAGGATGGAAATCAATGGGGTATTCACTTTTGAAAGCCTGTCACTCAATTTTGCTAAACGATTTGCGGCCTTTACTTCCAGAGCGAAGGGTGAATATTCACCTCTGAGTGGTCAACTCTTGAGGGCTCCCATTCCACAAGAACGTTTCACCAATAACCATCCTATTCTCTGCATCCTCGATATCAAGGAATTTAATCATACAGTTCCTCAGTATATATCTATCTGTTTCGTAAGCAGATAGACGGTCTACTTCTTGCTGGCTTAGAGCCTCATACGCCATGCCATCCACATGAGAATCAAGCTGTGGTCCATCTAGAAGCGCAGGATATGACCCCCAGAATCTAGTATGATAGCCTGCAATTTGAGCAGGTCGTAGCTTTAATTTCTTATCATCGGGAGATAAGTCAAGCACTTTAGCGAGTACATCCTTATTCATCAGTGTTCCGTAAAAGAAGATATAGTGTTTCCGAAAATATCCCGGCATGCCTATGTTTTCTTCACCCGGAGAGAGAGCGCGCTGGGGTGGGGGCTGCCACCCTTCGGGTATCATGGCGAAAAAATTCGCCATATGGGAGCGCTTTTCCAGCTTCTTTTTGATAATTTCTGGTGGGAGATTTTCCATAACTGAAAATCAGGTTAAAGAGAGCTGAAGATAGACCCTCTATTCTTTATTTTATTTTATTTTTTCTTG